TTCAAAAAAAAAAACGAAGTCCAGATGACATGATTCAACCTTTTTTGTACGCAAGATAAAATTAGAACTAAATGAATGTATTGACAAAAAAACAAATTCGTGGTACAAAGACTTCGCTTAGAACATTTTGAACACAGTAATAAATTAGGTAGCTTTTTAGCTAATCAACTCAAATTAAATAAAGAAAAAACGTCTATATATGGTATTAAAGCCACAAATGGTAACATAACTTATGACGAGGAAAAAGTAAATAGTGTTTTTAGAGATTTTTATAAAACTCTATACACTCCACAAATAAATCCAAAAGATGAAGATATTAATCAATTCTTGGAGAGAGTAATACTTCCAAAACTAGACAGTAGTCAATCATCAGAACTAGACTCACCATTAACATCAGATGAGCTCCGTGAAGCCATTAAAAACATGCCTAATAAGAAATCTCCAGGCCCAGATGGATATCCAGCAGAATTTTATAAAGAGTTCTGGAAAATCCTGGAACCAATATTTCAAAGAATGCTACATGAGTCAGAAGAAAATGGCAGGTTTCTAACACATATGAATTCAGCCAACATTAGTCTACTATTAAAACCAGGCAAAGACCCAGTACTACCTACCAGTTATCGCCCCATCTCTCTTATTAATGTGGATGTTAAAATAATTAGTAAAGTCCTCTCTAAAAGATTAGAGAAAATAATTCCTCACATTATTCATCCTGACCAAACTGGATTCATAAAAGGAAGACACTCAACCACAAACACACGCAGATTATATAATTTAATAGAGTATTCATATAGTAAAAATATTGAAACAGCTATTTTGTCTTTGGACGCAGAAAAAGCATTTGATAGGGTAAACTGGGAATTTTATTTGCTACCTTGGGTAAATTTGGTTTTGGGGAACATTTCATTAATTGGTTAAAAATATTATATAACTCACCAAGAGCATGTGTCAGGACAAATAATCAAATATCTTCAAGCTTCTGTTTACAGAGGGGGACCAGGCAGGGATGTCCACTTTCACCTGTGCTATTTGCTATTTTTATTGAACCTTTAGCAGCAGCAATAAGACAAACTGCTGATATTAAAGGTATACTGTTGGATAAAATGTAAATTTTATCATTTAAAACTGTTTTTAGACCCCTCATCATTTAACTAAACTCCAGTCGTGTGAACTAAAGAATAGCCATTTGTCTTGTTCTAAAGTGTTCATGTGCAGTGAGACCAAGACCTTGGGTTTTTAAACAACCATGATGTTATTCAGATCTGACCTCGCTACTCCGGCTATCCCGTTTTGTAATCAAGCTGTCTGTTTAGTAATCTTTTCTGGCTCCGCTGCGTCGGAGAAAATCTGTATCTGTTGATTTTGCCTGCTGCTCAATCCTCCTGCCTCACAATAAAACACGAGCTCTCCCGTCGAACGGCGGACTTCACCTTTTTTTTTTTTTTTTCTTCGAGGTAGCAGAAAGTTTATTTACAGCACAAATGTCCTATGGCATGCAATACAGAATTGGAAAAAGTACAGACTAATATTTGCAAACCTGAGAAGTCATGGAAACTTTAGTCTACGCTGACTACAAGAGTTTGGGAACAGGTCAAGGGAAATGAAAAGTGAAGTACAAAAACATGCTTTCAACTACAAATCATGTGGCACACACATGCTGGTAATAAGATTTACAAAGCCCTGATCAACACCCCTCCCCAAACAACCCACCCTCCCCAACTAAAAAAGAAAAAGCGGAGCATTTATGCACGCTCTCCTCTAATTCGCCTGGCCAGCTGGATGTCCTTGGGCATGATCGTGACTCTTTTTGCGTGAATGGCGCACAGGTTGGTGTCCTCGAACAGTCCGACCAGGTATGCCTCGCTTGCTTCCTGGAGAGCACCAATCGCTGCACTCTGAAAACGCAGATCTGTCTTGAAGTCTTGAGCTATTTCCCTGACAAGGCGCTGAAAGGGCAGCTTCCTGATGAGCAGCTCGGTGGATTTCTGGTACCGACGGATCTCACGCAGAGCAACAGTACCAGGCCTGTATCTATGAGGCTTCTTCACCCCACCAGTAGATGGCGCACTTTTCCTGGCCGCTTTAGTCGCCAGCTGCTTCCTGGGTGCCTTTCCTCCCGTGGATTTACGAGCGGTCTGCTTGGTACGAGCCATTTCTTAGTGTTTGTGTTTATATTTCGCTGGAGACGACCTCCTTCTTTCGTGCCGCGTCTTTTGATCGGCGGACTTCACCTTGACGTTTGGTCAGGTCACGAACTCCCACCTCTGCAGAGGGCTCATCAAAATTCTTACACTCTGTCTTGTGTATGAATTCTTTAAAGGTGATACGAGGGAAAAATCCCTAACATTCTTTGCGAGCCAGCCAGGAGCTCCCCGCAATCTGTTCATCGGTGGGACTCGACAGGATGCGCTGAAAGGTCGGCAATAGGCCGCCCAAAAAGCCCCGGACGCTGATTGTGTTACAGGCCAGCGGGATAGGTTCAAGTTCGAGACATCGGGGACAGACCGGCGAAGCTCCAGCCCACATCTCTGTAGTGAACTAAGCCTGAGGTCAAATCCTGGCCTTGGGGGCCTTTCTGGGACAAGAACTGTTATTTCATTGATTTGAGTCCAGAAACACAAGATTAAGTTCATCCAGAGACTTTCTAAGTGTCCTACACTGATCAATTGAAAGAACACTCTCTTTTTCTATTATCATTACTATTTTACAAATGTTTTGATAATCAAATTGTGTTTAGTTCAAACCATTTTCAAATGTTGAAGTGAACTACTCATTTTTAAATCCGCTGTGAAACAGTATTAGTGATTTTTTATCCTCATTCAAAGTGGAAATCGAGTTAAGAATGTGTTACAGAGTAATGATTCAATTTCTTGATTTTCTGTCTTCAATGAGCAAGTTGTGTAAGTTGGTCAAAGGTCAAGTTTCGGTCAACTGCAAGTTTACTGAAAATAAATGTCATGTTTAACTTTTACAGAAAGATACTAGAGAATTGACTCCACGAAGTCTGGAATCTTCATAGCAATCTTCTGTCTGTTCTTAAACAACTCAATCTTTTTCCTTGACTTTTAATAACCTCTTACATCACAAAAACACACCTCTGTTTGGTTGATTTGACCAATCAGGAACCTCCCAAATGAACCGGAAATAGAACTTTTTAAATGTCGGTACTTCCTAGTTCAAACCAGCTTCAGTCGTTTGCAGCTCCAGTCGAGTGCAGACGAGTTCAGTTCTGGGAGCAGAACCGAACGGAAGAAGTGCTGGGAAGAACAGAAGTCCAGACATGATCCAGAGCTCTTCCGAGTCTTGTGGGAATTATGCAATCTTCCACATCTGAGTGGAACTTCTGAAGGACTCCACTCATGTGAGTCCACTGGTGAGGTGAACTGTTGTTGATGAAGTCCCGCCACCACTCCGGACGGTTCTCTGCCATCCTACGGAGACGCTGGACCGGTAGCGTTAACTGGAACTCCGTTTCCACTGATTCATCGTCAGAGAGGTAATGAGTCGAGTTTACTACCGAGCGTACCGAGGAAAGCTGGGTTCGAATGGAGGGTGCCGTTCTGTTCAACACTTTCACTCACACACCATTTCCCTCCCTCTAAACTTCATCTTTCCATCTTTAAACTCTTCTATCTGTTAGAAATCATTCCAGATATTTTTAGAAATGTCTGTTGTGAAGCAAGGTTTTCAACCATCGCCGTATGGTCTTCTAGTTGTAAACTGATTAATTAACCTGTTGTTATTTTCAATTTTGCCAAATTAATGTAAATGTTTGATGTTAAATTTTGATTCTGAAAATAAATGACCACGTTCATTTTGATGGGTCAAAGGAAATTAACGTCTCACGTTACATTTTTAATAATTAAATGCACGACATTATTCAGTCCAGAAAAATGAATGAATCCGTTTAATTTATGAATATATCTCAGAATATGTTCATCTACATCTCTCACACAAGGCGAGTATGAGACTTTTCCTTTTTTTTATATATATAAGCAAAGTTGAACAGTGAGGTTGTTTGCTCAAACAGAATGCTGAGACCCTGTTAAAGTGATTAAATAGTGAAAAAGAAAAAACAGTTTAAGCCAAGACCCAGTAAAGTAGGGAAGTGAGATTGTTTGTTTAAACCACCAACCAACAACTTGTTTTGAAGTGAGATCGGTTTGCGCATACAATTAAGACCTACAGAAGTGAGGTGTGACAAGTCAAGACCTGATTTAAATAGTGAGACGGGCAACGAGACCTTATTTGGACATCTGGTGAGGCGTTAAATGAACAGCAAGTGAGAGTCTAGGGTGGTTAAGAAACTTACAAACAAGCAACGTGAAAAAAGTGAGATTTTTCATGAGTAACGTGAAAAAAGTGAGATTTCTCACCGATTACAAGCAGAAGTGAGACCTTTTCTGAATCAATATCTTGAAGAAAAAGGTGAGACTTCGGTCAAAATCCTTTTTAAAAATATTTGAGTGAGACTCAAACTGGCGTTGTACTTAAGGGACAAAGAAAAAAAATTAGTAGAGCTCTGATACGATCACTTTCTTGTTTGCTGTGCGCATGCGTGTTTATTTATGAATGCATGGAGGACTTGTGGGTAAACATTGCTGATTTCTTGGATACCTAGAAGCCTGGTCATTTGGTTAGTGTTTGAGCGCCCTCGAGGCATTTTCTGTTGATACCACCCACAACCCTATATTAATAAAGGAGAGCCATACTGTATATATATTTTTTTCTCTCTCTCTCCCTTATTTTAAATAACTAATAATGATGGGAGGAATATTAAGCAAAATAGTCCCCTCTGAACAAACAAAAGATAAGAGACAGGCAGACTATGGTCTCCTATCTGAAGTAAAACAAACGGCAGCAGAGGGTGTTGCACAACTGAGGCAGAGATATGAATCAAAATTTAAAATCCACAGTGGAATTGGTTATGACGACACCCCAGACTCGGCTTATCAACAACAGCTTAAGTATGGCCTTTTGCGGGCTTTTAGACCGGAAATCACCAATTGTATTAACAAACATTGCATTGAAGTGGACACTTGTCAATCAATCAACCTTTATTTATACAGGTAAATCCCATTGAGCCTCGAGGACTCATTTACAAGAGAGACCTGATTTCAACAAAGAAAGATGACAACAATGGACAACAGCAACAACAATAAGCAGTTATAAAAACTCATACTAGTTTTTTTTTTTTTTTTTTTAACAAATAGGATGGCTAAAAGGAAAAAGGTAACAAAACCAAAAAAACAGCTAGATTCCAAGACAAATGTATAAAACTAAAAACAGGAACATGTCAGCATTGGACCCTGCCAGGAGTCCAACAGATTCTTAAAGCCACTTAGAGAGGTCAAGGTCGAGAGCTTCAAATCTTTTTGTAAGATATTCCAAGAAAACAGGAGCGGAGTAGGAGAAGGCCCTTTTGCCTAGTTCAGTCCTCACTGAGGGAACACTGCAGGTAATAATGTCCTTAGAGCGCACTCCGTAGCTGCACTCACGCAGAGACATGTAGGAGGAGATGTATGAAGGCAGCAGACCAAGAAGTGATTTAAAGATGAAAATGTACCAGTGAGAGAGTCTGCGTGAAGTTAATGATGTCCAGTTAACCAATGAATACAGGGTGCAGTGGTGGGTACGATAATCACAGCCAGTTATGAATCTTAGTGCACCATGATAGACAGCATCCAACATCTGCAGGGTTCTTGTAGGAGCGTTCATGTAAATAATATCACCAAAATCAATTGAGGGAAGGAAAGTCACAGATACAAGGCGTTTTCTAGCATTCAGGGTTAGACAGGATCTGTTTCTGAAAAAGAAACCCAGTTTAATTTTCAGTTTCTTTACCAAGTTTTCCACATGGAGCTTAAAAGAAAGATGTGAGTCGACCAAGATACCCAAATATTTATAGGAATCAACAAACTCAATGGGGACACCATTTGAGTCATGTGTCCACTCTGATGCAATGGGCAGAAGATGCAGAGAAAATAGCTAAAAATAACCCCAGCCAACCTAAGCCCAGCACCGACACATTCCACATGCTCGATAATGCAGGCACAGAAACTCCCTACACAAATGAACACCCACACAGACCCCAATTTTACTCAGGACGCAGAGGAAGGTTTGGACCACAACAAAACAGAACCAGAGGTTCCTATCGGTTACATAGACCATGGCGTACCCCACAATTTGGTGGCCCACCGAGATACGCTGAACCACTCGAAAAACAACAACCGCAGGATGACCGCTGCTGGCGATGTGGTCAAGCCGGACATTGGGCAAGGCGTTGTAGAAATGCTCCCTCCACAGAGCCAACAGCATGAGAACTGTAGTTTTCCCACAAGGTCAGTGTGGGAGCTCTTATCTGTGGTGTTGCCGGCTCTCCGTCTGGGAGACCACACGCACACATGATAAAAACACACACACTCGCGAACGTCTGAACTCGCGAAGTTATCTGAATTTAGATAAAAAATACTGCATGATGTTGAAAAATAGAAATTGACATTGATTTTATAAGCCATCTACATCGGGTAAGATAGCTACCGTTTATAATCTTGTACCAAAACCCAACTTATAAAATATCTGAAATCCCCTTTAACTGACTGAATTAATTTATAAAAAATTCTGAAATGTCCCTTTAAACTGTTTAAATTCACTTCATGTCAAGAGAATACCTCTGACCTTTGAAACCAAACCACACTTAATAAAAATTAACTACTAACGGCTTATTAAATCTATAAATTAGGTGCAAATTTAACATAATATAATTAAATCCAAGATAGCCACATTAGGAGTTGACGGCTCATTTTAAGCAGACCTAACAATGTACATTTTAGCAGACTTAGCACTGTTAAGGTATTAAATATGGATAATACACTAATAGATTGTGTCCTCGTTTCATTTACTGTATAACAATTCAGTCTGTTTAAGCTCTCACGACCTTTGAGTTTGACATGTGTGATGTAGGAAGTTCTGCCTTAGATTCTGAGTTTAGTGTTAATGGTATTTTTTGGCTTTCACTATGAGGTGCTGTTTGAGACCCTTGTGTTGGTCAGAGTGCAGTTATGACACCGCTGGAGGTAGAGGCAGATGGATTTTCAAGAGATGGAAATGGCTATCGGAGAGCTCAATCTGAGCTTTATTTGCCTATGTGTAACTTGAGATGGAGAACTTTACAATTGGATTTGTTGTTTGGGTAATTGATTTTGCTATTTAAGACTGTTTCTGTTAAGTGCCCTGAGGCAACTTTTTGTTTGGTTTAGAGCTATAAA